TCAGAGGGTCAGTAGAGGATCATGAGGTCACTTACTTGAATAGGACATTGGTTTAAAATCTCATTGGGTACCTTTAGGGGTCATTGTAGAGCTTGTGTAGTCATTCAATTCATTTGTAAAAGTCACAGTCAAAAGACATGGAACTAGGGTTTCATCTGGTCAGCCCAAAGTCAACTGTGCACTTGAGAAGGTTTACAACTTGGTTCTAAGTCATTGAGGCCATTGGAAGTCTTATTAAAGAATATAGGATGTCATGTTAATATCAAATCAAGAGGAGTCAAGAGCTCAAGAAGTTGCTAAATTAGGGTTTCAGATGATTTCAGTGTAAAATCCTCTTCTTTAGTGCCTAACTTCATAGACATTTTCCCCTATGATGCAAGCTCAATATTATTTGCATGAAAACATGAGACTTGTTAGCCATGTTCCAAGATTTCTTTTGAGTACAAGAACTCATCCATTGAGTGTGTACATCTCAAGTTATGATGCCAACAAGTTAGGGTCCTCAGATGAAAAGAATTTTGGTCAACTTAAAGTCAACCCACTTCCAAGGCATTTTTGACCTAGAATTAAGTTTCTCCTAAACTTCAAGTGAACATGAAAGTTGCTTCTTATGATCTTAGCTTTTCAAAAGTCCTATAAGTCCTTTTTATCATGTGTAAATCTCAAGTTATAGACCTCAGAAGGTAAGGGTATTTTAGGAAAGTTCATTATAGGTCATCTTTTTCAATGACCATTTTTATGAGTTTATGGACCTCAAATCCAATTCCAACCAACATGAAACTTGTGCCTAATGGTCTTAACTCCATAATGAACTTATAACTCATGGGGGTTGATGGATTATATGGCCATGTGAACCACTTTAAGGGTGAAAAATTAGGTTTTTGGTCATGGATTGAATCACTTCATTTACAAGTCACCATTTGTGAATTTTTTCACACAACCTCATCTTTATATTGGTCATGATGTGCATTTCCTAATTCGGACAAACATATAGAACCATTATGTACAAATTTTTCAAGTTCCATTCCATAAAAGATCATGTTGCATACTTGGTCCAAACTTTGTCTCAATTCACCAAACCAATCCTATTGTTTTTTACACACTCTAGGGGCACTTTTGCTGACTCCAAAATGGATGGAAAGACCATAACCCGTGTGTATAAGTAAAAGGAGTTTTTTCGGCCATTTTTTGGAATCACTTGATACAATCATTATGGGCCTGCATGGAGTGTTTAAACCCATGATATTTAAGCTCATAAGCTTTCCCTAATGCAGAGAAGAGTTGGATGTGCGTAAAGAGAGTTCCCCCATTTCAAAATTTCCTCAATTTTTCACTTCATCGAATTTGGTATTTTCTGAGTTCTTGCTTTAAGATTTGTTTGGAACCATCATTAGTAAGGATCAAAGAGGGTTTTGGAAGGCTTAAACAGAAGCTTACTTGAGGAGAGAAGGGTCAACGAAACCTCTCTGTTTGGTAAGATTCCTCAACTTGAAACTTCCATGTTAGGCACAATTTAGGTTGCATTCTGAGTGCATCTGAAGCCCTACGTAAAGTAGGCCATGTTTGATTTGTTTTGGTGTCTGTTTATGAACTTTTCAGTTTGAGCTTGTTTTCTTCGTGGCTTGCTTTAACCTTCTTCCAGGGATCTGTTTGCAAAATTAATGCCATTTTTGAACTCCTCGTTAAATTTCCCTTAGAATAGTGGTCTGGGTTGGCTCTTTTATGGTGGTTTTGGCACAGCTCTGGCGACCCCTGGCCGGATAAGACGACCGGAGCCCTAGCTCCGGTGTCTGGTGCATTTTCAAATCAGGGCTGACTTGGCCTGCGTGGACCTGTTGACCGTGTGTGGTGTCACTTTCTCATTTGCTTGACTTTTCTTGTGTGGATGTTTGACCGTGACGTGTTTTATTGAAACGCATAGTTTCATTAAAACTCTAAGTCCTTGGGTCAATTGGGCTTGAACTGATATCCACACCCCCCAGCATTTGAGGCCCAACGCACTTTGTGAAGGATTCAGTACATTTCCATTGTGCTAATCATACCCCTTTTTCATCTTTCACTTATTTTCTTTTCTTTTCTTTTCTATTTTCATTTTAACTTTTTAAAAATACTTTCAATCATCCAAAAATTCCCAAAAAAATATTTTCTTATGCTTTGAGGTGTTATTTAGTTTTCTATAATTTTTGTTTCTGTTTTTATTTTATTTTGCTATTTTATTTTAAATTTGAAATTTAAGGTATTTTATGGTTCATGCTTTGCTTTATCTTATTCATTTGAACCCCTAGTGCAAATCCCTTATGATCAATGCTTCTTCATCATTTGGAGGATGATATGAAGTTCCTTTGAGGTTTGATTTGGTTCATGATTGATCATTTTTCATTTGACTTTGAGTTGACTTTTATTGTCCCTCGACATATGCTCGATAAGGTGGAGCACCATTGATGATTGAATTATTTGGTGATGCCTTGAGTGGAATTTGTCCATGAGATCTTGGATTCTATTTGTCACTTGACCTAGCTATGTCACTCAACCATGATCCTAACTACCACACACATAGAATTAGGTTCATCAGACCCAATACTACATACTGTGATATTAAGAATCATGTTGGCTAGACACACATATGAGGTGGAAAGAGATTAACTTATGATGTTTCAAGGCTAGGTCAAGAATCTACCTGCTCTGATACCAGTTGTAACACCCCATATAATATACGTCTAGAAAATACATTATACGTAGTAATGATTGGTACTGATACAATACAAGTGTCTAACGACATCATTATATACACATGTCCAAATTAAAAACAAACATTTATAGCACATGTTATACAATAGTTCCTAAATAAAAACTAAGATCTATGTGCAATATCTTCATTGCACACAATCCATAATGGAAGATAAAACTAATCGGAATCCTTTGAAACATCAATGCACAACTCTTCTTGTATATAACCTGCATACAACAACTGAAAAGCAACAACAACATTGGGGTGAGATAATAATCTCAGTGAGTTTTCTTATCCTATGAGTTATCTCGGCTCTACAGGGTTTCTAATCAATTTGCTAACTCAAGTCTTCAAAAAGATAAATACTTAAGCAACTAGGGGATTTTCACAATGTATGGAAACATGCACACTTGAGTTCACCAACTCAAACCAATCATCATTCGGAAACCTTCTAAGGCATCTTTCCCCAGCCAACCCTACGTCTAGGATTCTCGACACGGGTCACAGATTCTTGTATCATGCTTCGACTTTCTAGTGGATCTCAGATTTCTTCATGGGACTCGTACCCAATCTAAGAACCTTCGCTTCCTATGGGACTCAACCCACTTAGAGGTCCACGTCTTCTATAGGACTCTAACCCATTTGGGTGATCATATGGGACTCTAACCCATTTGGTTGTACTATGGGATTTTAACCCATTTGGTTGATCATATGGGACTCTAACCCATTTGGTTGAACATGTGAAGCAATAGTGCATATAACCCAATTATTACTTTTTACAAGCATCAAACTTTGGGACGGGCACAACAATGAGGTTTTTTTCGAATACATGGCTAGTTCATCAATGCAACGTGATTGTACTCATCAATCACTAGGTATTCACATCCACCAATTCTTATAACAACAAATCATATTCCATACAAAGAATATTAGTTCGTAACTAAGTTATAATTCTAGCAACTACTTGTCTGTGGCACACACCAAGGTACCTTTGCGTCCAAGCATCTCCATATAACTTATTTCCATAACATCGATTATCTTACTAGTTTATTCACCTAGTTATGCTCTTAAGTTTTCTCACTCATCTTTATAAGATTTTAATCATGTTATTACACAAACCCCCACAACAAAAATTCAAAAAAATCCTACATCATGATATAATTCATAACCTACATAAAGAACAAATGGTAACATAACACATTATAAACCATTGACAAGGTTATTACACACCCGCCTTCTTCTAACTTATTCCACTTCAGAGTCTCATAACAACATTCATCTGATCATCCTATGGTGGGGTTCAAGAGACTTAAAAGGAATGATTCATTGGAATAAGTCATAGAGACATCTCTTAATATCAAAATATGGTTCATAAATATAATTAACCAATTCATGGCCAATACCCAAACAATAATCATGGCACAAACATGATTTCTTCTCACCCATATAACATACATGATAGTATTTCATCACTATCCTATCACTCATTGGCATATATCCATGTTTCTACTTTACAATCTAATAGAGCATTGAAAGGGCCTTCCAACGCTTTAAGTCTCGTATCAATCTGATTCACGGTTCTCGAGTTATTATGAAAACAAGAACCAAACATTTTTTTCTGTCTTGTCATGTTTTCACTCGAGCTGGTAGCGAGCTCTGGCATGACAAGTCAGTAGAAAAACACTATGTGCTCGCTTGGTGAAGACCTTACGAGACCAGCTCGCCTGGCGAATCTGACATAACCCAGAGCACATAGAAGTTCTAATTGTTCCAACTGACAAACGATAGAGTACAGAGAACTCAGTTGGTCTCAACTGACAATTAATTGAACATTTATGAATATAAGATATTACAACATAACATAATAATATATTTTTATTGCATAACAATGTAAAACGTTTTTACACAGTCAATGCATCACCGTTAAACTTTTTTATGTTATAACTCTAATTATTTATCACTCAATTTTTTCTCTAATTCTAATCATTTCCTTTACACATAACGGATAGAGTATGTGATGTCATTCTATATACTTTAAACGAGTATACATATAATAAAACCATTAATTGACAACCCTTTGAGAAGAAACTGGTCCAAACCAAATTATATATATTCTGTTAATAAACATGATACACAATTGATGCGATACAAATTCAAAACCCAAAACTCTCGCAATGAGTCATAGCATAATCCTTTTTTAATATAATTAAAAAATAATAAGTTTGTTTGTGAGCACCAGTGCACCATCATTCAATTGGAGCGATCAAGTTGCTCAATGCAAGCTGCAAAAACAAGTAAAAATCAACAGGTGAATTTGAGATTAACAAAAGAAATAATTAATGAGATTAAAGATTGATTTGATCGTTAACATGAAAAATTTAAGATGTGAATTACATCATAAACCTAACATCAAGATTACTAATGATTTTTGTAATTAATCATGTTAGAATTAGAATAGAAATTGTACCTATCGCAATTCATATCAACCCGAAAATTGAAGGGCAGTTGAATTCCACAACCCGTAGGGATCATTGAAAACGCAGTATAATTGATGTTAGGGATTTTGACAGCAGCGTCTTGAATGCAATGACAAGCAGCAATGTAATCTTGATGAGTATCGATGAGATTATTCAGAAGGTTCATAGCTTCAAAACAACAATCTTGTGAGACACATTGTCCACCATGTCTTGCATAGGAATCGCATGCAGCAAAAGCAGGTTTCAAGTCACAACAAGTTAATACAGCCATAGATAGAAATGGTGCACACAATGCTATGCATATTATGAGTGCAATGGAATTGAATTTGATCGCATTTGTGCTAGCCATCATGAGAAAAATCTTGATTATGACGATGATGGCTAGCAAGATTGGTTGATGGAAGAAGGGTTTGGATTGAAATGGATTAACTCAGGTGTTGTGGAAATTTTGAAAGGACTTTTATGTCTTGTGTTTTTCTGTTTTTGGTTCATGAAAATCGCTAAACCGTGGATACTTGTGGTTAATATAACTCATTAGGTGTTTCTTTTTTCTATTGTTGGAAGTGTGACAAAATATACAAATGCTAATATAACTCAACTTTATCTCAATAGATTGCTATACAACTAATAATAGAAATAAAATAACCACAACAAAATATTATGGGGTCGATACATTATCTTTTAGTATGTAAATTAGATAGAAAAATTATAAAACACCACGAAGACTAATAACGATAAATAAAAAAATAAAAATAAAAACATTACAAATATGACATTTCAAGTTTTAATGAAAAAATCTTCTAGTACATGATATAGTCTAGCTAAAATATTTCACACTAAGAATATTGGGTAATTCTTCCTAGTATTACTAGAGATTAAAAAGGTATCAAAAATTCTCATCAACAATGGAAACTGGTTTGGGCTAGACAATCGGCCCAACACCAAAAGTCCAATCTAAAATACTTTTTCATGAAGAACGACAAACAACTAAACTTTCACTAGAGAACCACACACTGGATATAAACTGCTCACTCATCATCAGTCATCGAATCCTATGTGACAGTCTCCCATATTTTGTGTTGGACCAATTGAGAGTAATTTTAACCACCCATCATAAGCAAGCTTGTACATGCATCATGACATGTACATTTTCATTCATTCTTGCAAACTTCACCTATATGGCCTCAATGACTTAGGTGTTGGAGAATCAACTTTGCTGACACACTCTTGCTCTGTCGTATTATAGACCGGCACCGTCGCATCATAATAGTTCATACTTGCACGATATTAATATTCTATTCCACATCAGAATTATGGTGTTATCTATGGGAATTGTCTTCTAGTTCTTATGAGTTTCCATGTAAAATCTGTCAAATTCTTTTTATTGCATCATCGTAACTGCTTTATTGCCCTATCTAATCTCAAGTAATTATTTTCATCAATCATGGTAATACCTGATACTACGAGTGAAGTTGATGTTCAAATTTCAACAGTCATCACGCAACCACATCTTATCATCTCATCGACTACCAGAGGATCGTCCATCTTGGAGGAGCCAATTAAAAGATTTGCAAAAGTAAGTGCCTTGGAATCATAGACAAATGATAAAAAGGATGACAATAGCCGAGAGACTGGTCCTAGGGTTCTGAGATAAAGAAAAAGTGGGTGATGTTCCCAACGAAGTGCTTTCTTTGGTGATAATCACAAAAGTAGAAAATTGTGTATACTGAGGATTCTTATTGACAAAGGAATTTCATGCAACATCATGTACGTCGACTTCTTTGTAGTGTTTGGACTAGACAAATGAGGATTATCACCTTACGACGGCATAGATATTTATGCGTTCAATGATTTTATGACTCGTCCTTGGGGCGCTATAGAGTTATTAATCTCTTTGGAAGAACAAAAGGACGTGAGGATAGTAGACCCGCAATTCTTGGTAGTCCCCTATGAAAACATATACAACTACATCTTGGAAAGATCTATTTTCACAACACTCAACATCGTTGCTTTGAGCGTCCACTTAAAGATGAATTACCACAACATCTATGTCGAACCAGTCACCATCCAAGTCGACTTATCTAAAGCATCCTCGATATATAGGACACTATTAAAATATCCAATTGCGACAATCCTCTAGCAAGAAAGGAAAGTGAGTAGTCCCTTGACAAGAGTGATCTCTCAACTAATGCAGAGGCGACAATCCCCAGAACAATTCCATATGGAGAGTTCCAATTTGTGCAATTTGACGAAAAATTCATCCAAAATGATAAAGATGGGAGTCGGTATGCCAACCACACTAAAGAGAGACTTCATTAAGTGCATCAAAGCCAATGTCGACCTCTTCGCGACTTCACTAGATGAGATACTTGATATTCTCGGATTTATATGCTTGCAGGTATTATCAACGTGATTCAGGGTGGTGAAGTTTATTGATTGCAAAGTTGTAAGTCAGCTGGGTAGCTATTTGGTTTTAATGATGAAAACACTTGATATTAAAATATATCCAATAAATTCCTTATCTATTGAAGATGACTCAAGCGGTCAAAGATGCATAAGATCAAGTCATATCTTTGAAGTCAACACTTTGGTCAAACGAAATTCAAGCGAAGACTTTTATTTCAAGGTTCACTGGTGGTTTATATTCTCAACTCTCGAATGATGGTAATCAGCATGAAGATATCGTAACCCTCAATAAGAAGAATCAAGTTTCTTGTCTGATGATAAAGTCATAGATAATCATGCCAAGGTTTAAAGCTTCCGAGTTATGAAAGAGAGTAAGTGTTAATTTTTGCCTAGTCGTGTCTGTCTGAGTGACCAACAAGGGTATTTCTGGAAATAATATGGAAAAACCACACACACTGACACTGAAATCCTTTGAGAAGCCTCTCATATTTTATTTAAACCGCCTGAAAATGATTTTAAGGTCTATCTAACTAATTAGAGGAGTGTCTAACTAATTTAAAGACTTTTTCCAACTAAATATTCGATCAGACAACTTAATAAATAATTTTCACTAGGTTGAGTCTAAAATTGATTGCGGCAATCTCTTTATCATTGATAACCATTAAATATCAAAACCTTCCATTTTTTGTTTTAACAATCGATTATTTATGGTCAATAATTGAGTGGCCTAATCGATTAGGTAAGTTATTTCGCCCATGGATTGGTTCCAAATTGAAATCACAATCTAGCCTATAAATAGAGAGATTCTCTATCATTTTATTTCATCCAAAAAATGATTTATGGTCTCACTTTAACTTCTCTCGTCATTCTCACTAAATCTCTCATTTTCTCACATATATTTAGCCATAGTACTTTGAGGCTATTCTTGAGTCTAAATGAGGATCTTCATTCTAGGTGAAGGTCTAATTGTAATTTACCAAGCCTATATTGTATATTTAGTAAATATTTTTTTATGTAAGATGTTGTTTGGTTACAAACTAAACCAGTAAAAACTCTTGTATGGTTTGGGGGAATATTTTAGGATGTCTCTGTTTGGTTGTGAGTTTCTCCAAGAAGAAAATCCCTCTTTTGGTGTGTGAAAATAAGCCATCAAAATCTCTACAACAATTCTTAGGCTCAGCTCAGTTAAAAGCCCTATTAGTTAAATATTAGCTTGTGTTCAATCTCACTTGGTTCTTGAGTTCAACCTAGTGTAAAAGCTTAGTTAGCTCAAGATTATCCCGTGAAAAATCTCAATTTGTTACAAGGTTGGCCTGTGTAAAACCCCGGGTTATTTCTGAGGATATCTAACTCAAAACTCCATCTCGTTTCGGAGGATAGCGAACTCAAAACTCCATCTTGGTTCAACATCAATCCGTAGAAAATCTTCATTTTTTTGGAGGGTAACCACTTTAGACCTTGTTGATTGTTTGGTTGGAAGTTAGCCTTAAAACTTCATTTCCTTGTATAAGGATGTTCGTGGGCATATCCTTCTAAAAGCTATCAAGTTTATTAGATACTCTAAAGAATAACTTTTGGGGACATAAGTAGGTCAATTTAGGTCGAACTTGATTAATATATGGTGTTTCTCTTTATCCCTTATCTCTTCACTTTATTATTTTCCCTTTGGTTTTCCACTACTTATTTACTCGTTTGGTATTAAAATGTTTCCAAATTCTAATTTTCCAAATGACTTGGTTTTCAACCAAAGTTTTTCAAACCTCTACAATTCAATCCCATCCCCCTTTATCTTGTGTATGAAGTCACATGTCCAACAATATTGCCCTAGATGTGGCTTATCGTCAGTTGAATATTGATTCCTCCCTCATGTATGTGGCCTATAGAAGAAGGGGACAATACCCTAAAAAGGTTGAGGCCACAAAGAGCACCATTTAAGGGCTCCTGCAACCAACTTTGTTTTTGAGCTAAAGTACATCTAATGGTTGTCTAACATTGTCCAAGTAAATAAATTGTTAGGCAATTGGATAATGTGGATCAATTACATTGATCTTATCCAGGCTTTCCCCAAAGATTCATACTTGATTCTTAGCATCGATAAATTGGTGGAAAATTCAACCGAGTATAACTACTATTGTTCATAGATGTCTAATATGCATACAATCAAATGTGTATGTGTGAAGCATATAGAAACAAAAATGAAGGGGAGAGAAACACAAAAAATGTGGGTTTGAATTGGGTTTCACCAAATATGATTTTTTGCGGAAATTTAACTTCACTGCTAACAAAAGAATAAAAATAAATAGACACAATTATTTTTATTCTGGTTCACTATTCACAAAGTTACTCCAGTCCACCACCAAGGTGATTTCGCCTTAGACAAGGACTTAATCTAATAATCTAGAAATATTACAACCTCTAAGTGTTAAAAAACAACTTAGCCCTCAAGTATACAGACTAACGACTTAGTCACTTGAGGAATCTCCACTTTGAAAAGTGTTACAAGTGTGTGTACAAGAATTGCTTATAAACAAGCAGATGACACAAGTTGAAGTACAATAACACAAAAGTGTTTTCTAGCAAGATATGAACAACAACTCCTTGCTAATTTACAAAACTATCTTAAGAATAATCTTCTAGAGATTTGCATCGTATCAGCATGAGTTTTGTTGAGCTTAAAAGCTTCTTTTAATGCTTCTTTCTTTTACTTGTAGATTTGTGCTCTATTTTGGTTGAGCTTCAAGCATCTTCTTTTGAGCTTACAACTTGGTACTTTGCTTCCTCTTTGCATACATACTCTCATGTTTTCTTCAGCTTTTTATCTTCTTTTAGATGAACTCACATTTCTTCTCTTTCGCTCTTCTAGCTCTCAGCATATCATCTCTCTTTATTTGTTGTTGCTCATCTTTTTCTTCAAGCTTTCAGATCTCCAATATATAGAGATTGAGA